AATGTTTAAGGGTTACGGAGAGAGAGAGAGAGAGAGAGAAAGAGAAATGTTTAAGGGTTACGGAGAGAGAGAGAGAAACAGAGGGAGGTAAAAAGAAACGTTTCAAAAGAGAAAGAAAAATTTCGGATAAGAGAGTTAGAGAGAAAGAAATAGGAAGAGAAAGAGAGTTAGAGAGAAAAAGAAAGAGAGAGAGAGAGAGAAAATAGAAAAAAAATCTAAAACATCTAGTTTGAAGAATATGGTTCCATAATAAATTTACGTCACTTTACAATTGTTTCGAAAACGGAAGCGAAAAATCCGGTACGGGAAAGAAAAAAAAAAAATTTTTTTCTTCTGCTTTTTTTTTTATTTCGCTCGCTAATTCGGCGACATAAAAAATTCTAAACGGCGTTAAATTTAAAAAAAAAAAAACGAACAAATTATTTCGATAAATTACTTTTTGTATTTTTTTTAAAGTAAAAAAAAAAAATTTCCCGTCATTTTTTATTTTGAATTTTTTTCCCTAAACATCGTACGAAAAAAAATTTTCGATCGATAGATCGATTGATCGACGCGTAAAAATTATCGAAACAAATTAAAAATCAACAAGTCTAACGAATTTTATATCGAGAAATTTAATTTTAATTTATACCTTTAAAACGTTTGAAACAAAAAAAAAAAAGAAAATGGCGGAGGATGAGTTAAGAAAAAAAGCGGGAAAAAAAGAGAAAGAAAGCGATGAAATGAAAAAGAAAAAGAAAAAAAAAAGTTTGAGAAAATTTCATTACTGCCAACCTACAAAGAACAAGATAAATTTTTTAAAGCTTCTTTATTTCCGGTTAAAAAAAAAAGTTTTTTTTAGCTAATATGCCCATTCAATTGGAAAGGTCAGGGTTGACAACTTTGATTATCAATAAAATTCAGTTTTGCCAACATAAAAATAATAAACTTTTTATTTTATAATTGGAAAATACATGAAAATTTTTTTAAATTTTATTTTTACCGAACAGTATTATTACCAACATTTTCAACAATTTTTTTTTTTTTTATGAAATTATTTTTTTTGAACTTTTAACCTTTTTAAAAAAAATACATTTCTACCCCTCCTCCTCCTCCACCTCCTCCTCCCTTTCTTTTATTATCTTTTTTTTTCTGCTTCTTCCTTTCAAATCCTTTCAATCCCTTTTTTTTTTTTTTAAGGATAATTACATTATTGTTAAATTCAAAGAAAAAAGTGAACTGAAAAAAACGGAAACGAAAATATAAAAATGCATATTCTACTAAATTTATATTAATTACCGTTATTTTATTTTATTTATATGTACGCACATTTATATATACGTTTCCGTTTCCGTTTTTTCATTAATTGCAAATTAAAAAAAAAAAATCCGTTAAAGATTTTCGACGGTTATTTATTAGATGACGTCACGTTAATCTCTTAAAAACGATTCTACTCCGATATTCCAGGTTCCCACTTCCCACTTTTGCCGTTTCTTACTTCTTCCGTTTTTTTTTTCCGGTAGGAAATGACGTCACAATACGATGTCTACGTCATCGTCGTGCCTGTCTCGTTTGAAAAAAATTTTTATTAAAATATATTTCGTGATGCCTGCCACATCACTTCTATTTCCACTTTGTGAATGTTCTTTCTTTTTTTTTATCAGTGCCACGTTTTTTCCTATTTCCTTCGATTTTCTCCTTCCACGTTTTTATTTTAAATTTAAAATCTTTGTTTTGCTGTTTTTTTGTTTTTTCTACTCACGCACGCATTCACGCTGCGTTTTAAACGCAGTTCGATTCGATTATTTAAATTTAACAACGTTTTTAATAATAATAATAATAATAATAATAATAATAATAATAATAATAATAATAATAATAATAATAATATTTTCAAAAGGGCGTCATAGTTTCCATTTATTTTTTTTTTTTTTCGAGACGTTTCGGTTGAAAAAAAATTTACAATAAAATTTTTTGTCTCTCTCTCTCTCTTTCTTTTTCTCTCTCCTTTTTCAATACTCGAAAAATTTTTTTTTAATCTTAGCTCAGTAAAAAAAACTGAAATTATACGTCACGCAAAAATAATAATAATAATAATAATAATAATAAGGAGAAGAATGAAAAGGGAAAGAAAAAATTTTTTTTCAAAACATTTTTTTTTTTTTGTGGGGGGGGTTACGCCGTTCGGGCTTCGGGGTTACCCCCAATATGCGAAAAATTTTTTTTTTTAAAAAAAACGTTTATATATATGTATATATCGTTCGAAAACCGGAAATGAAATAAAAAAACTGGGACAAAATATGTTGCGTGTGTCGAAACGTCGACGTTTTGATAACCGATTACGATATTATCAATGCACGACAATAATTTTTTAATATTTTTTTTTTTTTTTTTTTGGAATAAAAATTTGCACTCCCCACCGTGATCTCCAACTTACACGCGTACTTTCGCTAAAAAAGTGAGGGGAGGGAAGAGGTAAAAAGGCACTAAAAAGGTTTATCATCCATCAAAAAAGGGGAGCTCGTAAAAAAAAAAAGTTTCGTCCAGTTATAATCACACATTGTTATTGGATTAAAACCTCGTAAAAAAACTTTTTTTTTTTACACACGTCCTCGTAATTTTCTTCTGCTTCGTTTGTTTGTCTTCTGCTTATTTTTTTTTTCGTGCATGAAATCCCTTCTCCCCCCTTCTCCCCGCACATTCCGAAATTTTTTATATATTTTTTTTTAATTAGAGTTCATTTTCCCCCTTTTCTTTTCCCCTTTTTCTTTTTCTACGTGAGTTTCGCCACTGCTTTCCCTAGCCCCCCTTCTCCTCCTCCTTTTACTACCCCTTCGCCCCCCCCGAAAATCGTTTATTATCGATAAAAAAAAAAAAACACAATAAAAAACAAATGTTGCCTTTGACACCTTAAAAATGGCACACCTCAAATTTTTTTTTTTCGGTCATTGAAATCGTTTCCGTTTTAAAAATTAAACAAAATGTGACGTCACCGTTTTTTTTTTTTTTTAAAATTCAACTTCGATTATATATAAGTATAACCGGAAATAAAAAAAAAAAAACCGGAAAAACTGATTTCGAATCGTTTTTTTTTTACTTACTTACGACAAAAAAAAAAAAATTTGCGTGACGTGCGTGCGGTTTTATCGCGATTTTCTTTTTTTTTTTTTTTATAAATAATTCACGCAATTCTGTTTTGAAAATTTTTTTACGGGACGATACGGGGGGAGGGGAAAGAGAGGCGGGAAATGTGGGGAGGGGTCGCAACCGGATGTAAAACCGGGATAAAAATAAAAGCGTAAAATTACTCGTTAAATTTTATTTTTATTTTTTATAAAAAAAAAAAAAAAAATTGATTATTGTTTGACGAACCGATAAATTAAATTATATTTTCTACCTCCTCTCTTTTCCCCCCCTCCCCAACCCCCTTCCATATCTCCCTCTCCCTCGCTCTCAAGCATGTTTTGTTGTGATGAAAACAAACGAGACGCGTGAGTGGGTGAATGCGCGTGTGTAAGACGTTTAAACAAACGACAGCAGACGAAATATTTCATTATGATTTTTAATTAGGTTTTATTTTCATCGTTTTTAATTAATTTAATAATAATAATAATAATGATAATAATATTGATGATGATGATAATGATGATGATGATAATATGTTTTCTCTATTTTTCTTTATTTTTTTCCTTTCGGGAAAGTTCTCGAAATTTTTTTTCGTTAATAAAATGACGTTAGTATTATTATTATTATTATTATTATTATTTTTCAATTTCTCACGTGTGGTCTTCTTGTCGGAATTTATCCCGAAAAGATTATTTCCAGATTTTTTGATCGATTCCTTCAGGAATAAATTTTTATTGAATGTGGGTTACGATGCTGCTATCGTGATGACCGGAATCGTTTCCGGTTTCCGCTTTTCGAATTTTCATATTCTTACATTTCAGGAATTTTTTCCGTTTGGTGTTCGGTTTTGTTTTTCATTCTTCTCCTGTGGATTTGTTGGTTGTTCTCCCTCCTTACTCCCCCGACTTATATTCCAGCGTTTTCCTTTTTCCAGGAAATTTCCATTTCCACTAATTGTCCTAAGGTGGGGTGTGTTCTGTTGATGGAATGACGACACATATTTTCCCATTCCAACAACATCCTGTTCATCGTAGACACACCATTGTCAGCATTTTCCTTTTTTTTCCTTTGTCCGATCGACGGGGACCCGAAACTATAACAAAATTATTATTATTATTATTACAATTTAATTTAAAAATGTGGGGGGAGGGGAGGGGAAAATAAAATTTTTATTTATGATAATTTTTTTCACATAGTTCCTCGCATTAAAAAATTATTATTATTATTTAAAATTTTTCTTAACGGATGAAAAAATAATAATAATAATAATAATAAAAATGAAAATTTTTTCGTAAATTGTTTTTTTTTTGTTTGTCTGTTTGTTGTTGTTTGTTGTTGTTGTTATTTTTCGAAATTATATACACAATTTTTATAACCGAAACAATAAAAAAATAGTTTCAATAATAAAAATTCAACGAAGGTTTGCCAACGTTAAAAACAAAAAAAAAAAAAAGGATGGAAAACGAACGACGGGTGGGTGTGTAGGGGTAACGGCAGGGATGTCGGGGGAGGGAACGGGGGCGGGGAGTAGGGAAAAGGGCAGGAGAAACATAGAAAAACTAATAAAATAAAATAAGAAAATTTCGCGTATCGACTACAATAAAAAAAAAAAAAATTCAAATTCAATTTTTTTTTCTTTTTTTTTTTTTATTACAATGTTATTAAGAATGGCGGCGGATTTTTTTTTCTTTTTTTTATGTTTTCGTAATAAAATTATTATTATTATTGTTATTATTATTATTTTTTCATTCAAATTTAAATCGTTTTTAACGAATTTGGGATTTCGAAATGTTTATTGTTTCGTCCGGATCTCAGTTTAATATTATTTTATTAATTCGTTAAGAAAATTTTCATTTCCGTCGGAACGACAATGAAATGAATTTTCTGGAACCACGATGATGATGATGACGTGGAATCATCCACGTTCTTCATTACATATACACATAACCGTCACTTCCGCTTTTTCCTTTCTTGAATTCTCTTCTTATTTTTTTTGGCATTTCCGGTATAATTCATCTTCATACATTTTTTTTTTTTGATTTTCATTCGGCCATATTTGATTTTATAAATATCGATTTAATTCGTTTCCGGTTTATTATTATTATTATTACGAATGTTCGAGGTATTATTCAAAAAAAAAAAAAAAAAACAATTCAATTTCTTTTAACGCAAGGAATTTTATTTTTATCAACCGGATGTGCGTGTGTGTGCGTTTAATTATTTAATTAATAAAAATCTCGTCGCGATATTCGACTTATCGATTCGATTTATCGAATTTTTTTTCTAGAAAATAATAAAAATTTTTTTTGTAATTGTTTCAGAAGTCATTATGCAAGTTCAATCCGTCATCAACACCATCGCTCGTCTTCCCTGCGATTTATCAACGCCCATAGAAAACGATTTCGTCACATTGATAATATGGTATCGTAAAGATTCGGATTCGCCATTGTATAGCGTCGACGCACGTGACAGACCCTTAGATCAAGCGAGTCACTGGTCGGGTAAATCTTATGGGGGTAGAATATTTTTTCAACCCTCGGATAAAACCCGAGATGGAATATCGAAATTATCGTTGAAAAACGTTAACGAATCCGATGCCGGAAATTATAAATGCAGAGTGGATTTTAAAAAATCTCCAACGAGAAATTCATACGTTAATTTAACCGTCATCGGTAAGTCTATCTATTATTATTATTATTTTAAATGAAAACTATTATTCTAATTACACGACGATTTTTTAAATTGCTTTTAACTTTCGAAAAAAAAAAATCGTTACGTTAGAAATAATAAGCATAAAAATTTTTCAAGCTATTGTATGGATTTTTTAATAATTCGAAAACGGGTCACGGGGAGGGTGGAAAGGTCAAAGGATCAATAATAATAATAATAATAATAATGATGATGATGATGATAACGATAATAATAACATGGTCGATTTGTAATTACAAAGTAATTTATCTCGACAAAGAAACGAATGCGTGTGTTGTGTCGAATTAATATTATTATTATTATTATTTTCTTCCTTTTTTTCCTCCTTTTTTTCCTTCATACATCCCATTCTTTTTTCATTTCGAAAAAAAAAAAAAAAATGAGAACAAAAGTTGAAAGGAAATTTTTTTATTTTTTGCTTGGTAATCTTCCGCTTGTATATATTATTATTTTCACCGGAAATTGAAATCATAGAAAATGGGGCACCCGAGATTAATTTTTTAAATTTTTAAAAATGAATGAAAAAAAAAAACAACAACAGCAACAGGAAAAGGAACAACAGGAAAAAAAAAAGTTTATTACAAAAAGGGAGAGGAAGAAGGAAAAAAAATGCGTTTGTTTTAAATGTGTTTGTATTTGTGCGTGCGCGTGCGAGTCGTGAATTTTATATATGTATAATATATATGTTAATTTATTTTGGTGATTTTATTGCGGTTTAAGATGAACAAAAAAAAAGGAAGAGAAAAAAAGGAAAAAAAAGGAAAAATGGTATAGAAAGTAAAGGATGAGAAAGAAGAAAAAAAATTCAATAAAGTAAAATTAAAAATTTATCAATACAAATGTGTTCCTCACGATTTATTATTCTGTCGATGAAATTTTTTTCATTACCGGAAATGAAATGAAATGAAGAATAGGATTCAATTTGTAGCCAACTCTCTCTCTCTCTCTCTCTCTCTCTCTCGTTTCCTGGTAAACAGGCAATCTTCAGACAATTTCACTTTAACGTTTTAACATTGTCCTCTTCCAGAACTCAAAGAGCAAAAATATCTACGACTTCCCTTACGCGAAACTCTCCCCCTCCCCCCTCCCTGATCCAATTCTTCCCTCCTTATTCAACCTTAATCTCCTCTGAACACCTTTTTCTCCTCCAGACTACGGCACTCCACCATTTCCCCTCTTCGACATAAAAATTTTCCCTCTCGTTACAAAAAAATAAAAAAAGGGATATGAGTATTTTTTTTTTTTTTACAAAACAAACAAACAAGCAGAATAATAATAATAATAATAATAAATAAATCCGTAAAATCTTCTTGTGGTAACGTAAGAATAAAACCCAAAAACTCAAACCTTTCAAAACTTCTTCGCAACTTGCCACAATTTTAATTCTTTGTTATTATTATCATTATCATTATCATTATCATTATCATTATCATTATTATCATTATTATTATTATTATTATTATTATTATTATTATTATTATTATTATTATTATTATTATTATTATTTAAAAAATCTTTTGACTACCTAAATAGCCTTTAATTAACTTTAAGCTTTAAAATTATTTTTATTTTTATTTTATTTTTATTTTTTACTTTTTTTTACGAGTAAAAAAAGGTTCGGAAATGTTTATTATCATTATTATTATTATTATTATTATTATTATTATTATTATTATTATTATTATTATTATTATTATTATTATTATTATTATCAACATCGTTTGTTTTTTTTCCCCCCGTCGAAATTATTCTCCAGGCTATGGTTTCTCTGTGATTGCGTTATATACCATCTGCGTTTAAGTTTTAAAAAAACATTTAAAATACTCCAAAAAAAAAAAAAAAAAGTTTTCCCCCCTCACTCTCTCCTATATCCCTCTCTCTCTCTCTCTCCTTCCAGTTTTCCCATCTATAATAGCTTCCAGCAGATTTATCAATACTTTTTCGTTTTTTTATCGTTTTAATAATAATAATAATAAAAAAAAAAAAGTCTGGAACGTCACAAATGGTTAACTCCGGAAATAAAAAATATATAACTTTTTTTTTTTTTTTTTTTTTTTGGAACTCGATAGAAACAAACACACGCACACATGTGAAGGTTCGAACAAACAAACAAACAGTGATTAAGTTTTAAAGTTTATTTTTTTTTAAAACAAAAAAAAAAAAGAGAAAAATAATAATAAAGTTATGAAAAATTCATTTCGGTTATAAAAGACAACAAACAGATGTATGAGTAACATATTAATAATAATAATAATTTTGTGATCGAAATCGAGGATGAAAGGAGAGAGGGAGAGAGAGGAAGGAGGGAGAGGAGGAAGAGAAAAAAAAGTTTTTGAGAAAATAATAATCAAAGATGATGAAAGAACAAACAACAACAGCAACAACAATTCGAAACGTTCGTGATTTTTTTTTGGAAAACGCAGTCGATAAAATGTACGAAATGAAGAATGGATAAACTTCTGGAATGTTCTGGATTTACAATTTAAAATATTTTTTCCATTTGATTATTTACGCGTCCTGGAAAAAAAAACAAAAATCCTGGAGAAAAATTAACAAACAAACAAACGGAAAAAATTACATTAAAAAAAATTTTTTGTTTCTATTATTCGCGCGAACAAAAAATTTTTCGTTTTTTTTTCCCTTTAAATACATTTTTTTCTTTTTTAAAATTATTTTGACCTTTGACCTTTATTTTAATAAAAAAAATTTAAATTAATCGATTTACTAATAATCGCAAATATTCGTCGACTAATTATATTTTCCTAATTTTTTTTTTTTTTTCGTTTCTCCTCATTTACATCGACATCAATCCTTCCCATTCTCTCTCTTTCTCTCTCACTCTTTCTCGACTTTTTTCTATTTTTCATCGGTAATGAGATGTAGTTAAAAAAAAAAAAAAACTCTTCTGCCACGTCTTACATAAAAAAAAAAAGATAATTTCGAGTCATTAAATCAAATTATTAAAACCCTAATGAACAAATTTAAAAGAAAAAAAAAATTAATTAATTTAATTACGAGTTCTATTATTAATTATTATTATTATTATTAAAAGAAAATCACTTCCGGTCATGATGATAAAAATTTTTTACCCGTCTTAGAGATAAAAAAAAATTTAACGATTTCACATACGAATTTACATTACTTCACTTTTTATATTAAAAAAAAAAAAAAATTATTTTAACGTGGAATTAGAAAGTAAAAAAAAGAAGAAGAAAAAAGTGGGAAAAGAAAAAAGAAAATAAATTAAAATTTATTAAATAAACCTTCAGGTGGAAAGAAAAGTTTATTAAATAAAAGATTGCTTAGAAGTAGTTTTAATTTAACAAAAAAAAAGAATAAGTTAAGAATATTTCCTTCCTTGAAAATGTAGTTTATTTAATAAGAATATAAATTATTATTATTATTATTTTTCTTTTTTCTAAAAAAAATTTTAGTTGTGATTTATAGGGCATTTTTTTTTAAGAAAAAAAAAATTTCCCGGGAAATTTTCTTTTTTTTTTTTTAAAAAAAAACTTATAAAATTTTTTTTTTTTCTCTTATTTATTTTAACACTTCTGCCACATTTAATAATCATATGTGCGTGCAACAAAAATAAATAGTGCGACGAAAAATGAGTGTAGAAATTCGGAAATGGATATAACCGGAAGTAGATGTAAACGGAAATGACTCCGGTCGTGTAGTGATTTCAGTAAAACGGGAATAAAGAAGAAATGAAGAACAGGAAATAGAACGGGCGATGACAGTGCCACCTATATTCAAATAAGAAAAGTATACGAGGTTAGATAAGGTACGAAGAATGCCGAACGAGTCAATCACCACGATCGGAAATCATCGGTCGTTCATATTCTTCGGAAGTTGGATTTCGGAAAAACAAAAAAACCTGGAAAGGTACAAAAATACCTTACGAATTCAGTCAAAGAATGATACGATTGCGATCCGACCTCGGTTACGACAGAAAAAAACACGACAAACAAATACAAACGCTGAGAAAACTGTGCCAACTAACAAACCGCATATCACCTCGAGGCATCATTCCGAAAAATGACTGAAATGCGGGTAAAATTAAAAGATGAATTCCGGTCATCTTACAATAACACCAGGTAAAAAAAAAAATAAAAAAATTTTTTCCGGAAATTAAAAGAAGAAATCCCTGACAGGAAGTAGAACCGTCATATTTATTAAACCTGAAAAAACTTTGATAAGAAGGACGATTCTGATACCACGATTAAAAAAAACAATAATAATGATAATAATAATTAAAATATAAATAATAAAATGAATACGTTTCTCGTATTTAAATATAAATGAAAAACAAAATGAAAAAAAAAAAAAAATGGCGGAATCCGAACGTCGCGTAAAAAAAAAATTTTGACACAGTTTTTTTTTTTTTTCAAAATGAAAAGGTTTCGAGAAAAAATACATCACTTCCGAACAAATCCTTTAATCTCCCTTTTTAAGCTTTTCCTTTTGAATTATAATTCACACGCGTACGAAACAAACAAACAAACAAACAAACGAACGAACGAACGATCGAACAATTTGAAAAATAAATAAATAAATAATTTATTTATTTATTTTTCGTAAGAACAAATTCGAACGTTTTTCAAATTATTCTTCTCAGTTCGGACACCGGGTCACCGGAAACGGTTGTTAAAGTCAAATAAAATAATAATAATAATAATAATAACAATGAAAAAACGATAGTAATAAATGATACGAGTTTCAAGAGCAGCAACAGCAGCAACAGCAACAGCAGTAGCATTTGGACCGATAATAAAATTATTAAATTTATTGTTTTAAATTTCAAAATGTCATTTACCAGTTTTTTTTTTTTTTTTATTTTTACTACGAGACTCACCTTATTATTACTCTATGGTGATGTACGTAAACATTTATTACTCTATGGATTTTATTTATTTAATTATTTATTATTATTTTTAACGGAACAAATAAAAATTTTTACGTTTGAAATTCGAAAACAAAAAAAAAAAAAAAACTACGTAAAACGTGTGACTACGACGACGAATCAATTTATGTTTTTTAAATTTAAATTTTGGCGGGAAATTTAAAAAAAAATTTTTTTTTTTTTTAAATATTCAAAATGGCGAAATGAAATATCGTATAGTTTTTTATTATTATTAATTATTACTGAAAAGAGAGGGGGAAAGAGAGAGAGAGAGAAAGGAAGAGAGAGAGAAAGAGAGAGAGAGAGAGTGAGCAGAAGTTTTTACGAAAGATTTTTTTTTTTAGATATAATTTAAAAATTCTCATGTTTCTTTCGTTTTATATTTTTTAAATTTAGGATTTAATTTAAATAAGGTCGAAAGAAATTGAAAAGGTAGAGAGAGAAAGAGAGAGAGAGAGAGAGTAAGAAAGGTAGTGTGAGAGAGAGAGAAAGAGAGAGAGTAAGAAAGGTAGTGTGAGAGAGAGAGAAAGAGAGAGAGTGTGAAAGAGAAAGAAAGAGAGAGAGAGAGAGTAAGAAAGGTAGTGTGAGAGAGAGAGAAAGAGAGAGAGAGAAAGAGAGAGAGTAAGAAAGGTAGTGTGAGAGAGAGAGAGAGAAAGGGTGTAAAATGAAGACGTATATATAAAAAATTTCAATGCGTCACATCACACGAATTGATTTCTTTCGTCATCAATTAAAAAATTTTTTAAATCGAGAAAGCGAGATTTTCTTATTCTATGGATTTTAAGGAAATTTTTTTTTCATAAAGTATAAAAGTTTTCATAGAGTATTTTTTTTTCTCTTTCGGTTAATAACAAAACATCACTCATTGAATTATTTTTAAATTTATTTATTTTATTTTTTTAAATGAAATTTCGTGTACTACGATGTGTTATCTCCTAAGTTTTCGTTGAATCCGCACCTTAATTTAATTATTAATGTTTTATTTTTTATTTAAAAAAAAAAATTTTTTTTTTTTTTTTTATAGGAAAAGTTAGTTTTCTGTTTTTTTTTTTTTTTTTTCCCGGCATTATATTTAAATAATTTAAACTTTTTCTTTCTTTCCCCTGGGTAACTCTCCGATGGTATTCAAAAAAAAAAAAAAAAAAAAAAACTCTTTCGTTTCATCTTAATTATATAAATTTCTCTCGCCAATTTTTTTTTTTTACTCCCTCCTCCTCCCCCCTCTCTCTCTCTTTCTTTTTGTGTAGCTGAATACTTTTTTTTTTTATTTCAACTTTCTTTTTCTTTAAAAAAAATTTTTTTTTTTTAGCAAAAAAAAATAAAAAATACTTTCTCGAACTACGAATTATTTATTATTATTATTATTATTATTATTATTATTATTATTATTTCACGTGTTTTTTATTTTAAATAATTCTTTTTGTTAATTTTTTGTTATTTTTCCCCCCATTTTTTTTTCTTTCATTTTCGTTAACGTAAATTTTAAAAAATCTCTTGTGCAAATGGAATTCTTTAAAGCTAGCAAAATTTTGTTTTTAATAACAACAACAACAACAACAGGTACAATAACTACAACAATAATAACAGGAACTAAAACAACAACCGCTACAAGGACAACAAC